TCCAGCGATGCGGAAATATCTGCTCTGAGAAAAGACGAAGGGAAGCATTGCCACGAGTGAGACACTGGGGTGCATGCGCTTAAAAAACAGGGCCGCTCTCGGCCTTTTGCATTGCTGCGGGTGCCATCACGAGCAAGGAGGGCACCTCACAAACACAGAGAAGTTTCTTGGGCTTTCACTCTTAGTCAGGGAAATGAGATCTCTGCCAGCAAGCGTACAGTGACTCCTTACTGCACAGGAACTACAGTGACAAATATTTCCTTGCACATTTCTGCAAGCCAGGACCCAATGAAGCAAGGGAGACAGGGTGCACGAGCTCTTGGAGACGCACTGTGCTCCAGCGGCCTGCAAGGCTGCAAGCGGGGACACAGCTCGGGGCTGCACATCCAACCTGGGCTCTAGGCGAGTCCCTTCACTGTGGAAAGCCTTTGTGCTCCCACGACTCTGCCAAACAAGCTCAGACAGCTCTTGCTCTGTCGGGTTCCCCAAGTGAGATCCCCCACCCCCGGCTTCGAGGGTCCCCTTGGCAGGAGCCATGGGCACAGGACGCAGCTCTCAGGCCACTTGCCCACAGGCCTGCGCTGTGCGCGGGGACGCAGCAGGGCCCCGCTCACCTGTCCAGCAGTGCCCTCCTGCCTCTCCTCTCGGCTGGGGGCGGCACGAGCCCCCCCCGGGGCGCGCCACAGGCAGTTCTTAGTGCCCCACGCAAGGGCAGCTGCGCACGGGTTGGTCTCCCCTTCCCACCAAACTGCCCTGCGGGGTTCTGCAGTGCCCAGGGGGGCAGAAACGCTCTGCTTTCTTTAAAGCGAGCCCCAGGGTCTGCCAAAGGAGCTGGAGAACCCTCAAGAAACGAAGCTTTATGGAGCTTCCCGTGGGCACGTGCACAGGGTGGCTTGGCTCAGGTTCAAGATACCCCAAGAGGGCTGGGCAGGTACCAGGGGACACATGAGGGTCCTGGTGGCCTTTCCCAGCTGCACCGCTAGATGGGTGGCTTGCTCCAGGAAGCCACTTCAAGTCTTAGAAAGTTTCCTGGGATGCCGCAACAAGGAGAGGGATTTCAGCTTTCAGGATGTAAGTGGGAGTCATTAACTCCACCTGGCTGCTACTCCCTGGGGAATGTTCTGCAGTAAAGTGGCTTCTTGTTACACACAGTATCTGTAAAGAGGCAAATCCAAAATATGCTCAACAGGAGCAGGGAACACTACTGAAAATGCAATATTGTCTTACAACGCCTGAAGACCAGCTTTGTTGAAACACAATACATGGGCACATCCCACAGAGGAGATGTGTGGGACACTACAAAGCCTTCCTCAGCGTTCCTCTCAAATCGTCTTATGACTCCTAAGCTCTCAGGAGCTCATGCCAATTGAGCCACCATCAGAACTAGTCATCGCTGGCTCAGGTTCTCAAGAGTCATATCAATCCTGTGTAGATCAGAGGCCACCAGATGGCACTCAGTAATTAGCAGCAATAAGCAACTTAACTTGAAGGTTACTTTTTTTCTACTTTAGAAATATCTTCTAGCCCTATCTTTTACCTGAAGCTCTTTGCATGCCTCTAATTTCAATTATTATATATTCTAAAAACTGCCTGTAAATCTAAAACTGCCTTGTCTCTATGTGAAACTATTTCCATGATTCATCTGTCTAGTTACTTTCCACTGACATAGTTGTAGCTATGATTCAGCAACTAGCTCTATAAACACTGCATATCTGTGCAGGAAGAGATAAGCACCAAAATACCTCTACATACAGTTCTTAGGTTCCTGGGACCTTTTCACAGAAAAATTGCCAAGTATCGGAAGTTGCTGTGATGCAGCATTGCTGTTCTCTTTAGCACAGAGATGTAGAACTTGATTCTGCTTCTTTGTCAAGGCCAAGAGAAAACTTTTTTTTTTGCTTTCAAAACCCTACTGACAAGCGTTGATATCCCATTCTTTGCTGAAGTCTGGAAGAGCCACTTTCTTGAAAGCAAAGTATAAAGAACCACGAAAAATTTCTCAAACAGGTGAGTGAATCTCTCAGCATGAAAGTTGTGATCTCTTATTGAAAGTTATACTGTTAATATCCCTACCAAGTTCCAAAAATTTGCCCTATATTGCAAACTGGAAAAAAAAAAAAAAACTAACCTATCATCTCTATAGAGATTTACGATTCAGAGATTTTGGTAGAATTAGAGCCAGGAAATACTCTGCTGAAGCTTATTCATTGTCCATACCTGATTCTTCCTGTTTTTAATCACAGACACATTTACCTGTCATTCTCAGGAGGGGATTGCATGTGTATTAAGCTGGATGGTGATGCTTCAGTAACATCAGAGATGATGGGTCCTCCAGCAATTGCAGGGCTGCTTAAGCATGAGGCAGGTTCTGTTGGTGGCTAAGAAGGTAAAAATCATAGAGATTTATCCTTCTGAAGGAGTAAAGGACATCAATAGGTCTGTTGATTTTCCACTAGCCCAGGGAGGGGAGAGACAGGTTACTGATTTCCAAGTGCTGCACTCAACCACTTGAACTCCCATCCCTTCAGCTCGCTCTGCCCTCCTTGGGCTCTTACCTACTGTGTGACTCTGCAATTTCCTCTGGTCTTTTCTCCAACCACACAGCAGCACAGCTATGAAATAACCACTGTGACTGAAAGGTCAACTGCTGACAGATTTTACCCTGTCTGAAATTCTGCTTAGCTGCCTCTGGAGCGAACGACCCAACTACTCTGCAAGTGCCATAACAGTCTAAGTATTTTAACTGTGGGACATGAGTGTGGCAGCTCTGCTGGCAGCAGCCAGGTGACAGGCCAGTAAGGCAGCGCAATCCTTTCCCCTTCAGGACGCAGAAAGCCCTTGCAGAAAGCATTCACTGCGTTGCTTGAACAGCTGTCCCCTCCGGTGCCTGTTTGGGTGGTTAGAGTGCTGGGGATGCCCGGGGACTGCGAATACCTGCCTTTGGCCAGGGAGATCCCCAGAAAGGCACCACTTCTAGAACAAGCTCTTCTCTGAGCCTGGCTGTGGTAACGCAGGGCCCGTCCTCCCCTCCCACATCCGGGGCCTCTCACGTTGCCCTGGGCAGGCCGCAGGAGCACGAGCAGACACAGCTCAGCTCTGCCAAAGTTCTCTCTTCTTCATGGACAAGCTTTTGCCAAACAGCTTACTCCATAATCCATGTTATTGCCTCAAACGTTTCCTCACACTGGCCAAAGAAAGTGCATGAAATCGGAGGCTGGAGCAGACCTACCGACTGAATGAAATAGGGGTCATGGAGAGGGTCCGTGGACAAATGCCGGCCAAACTTGGGCACTTGTGGAGTTGAGATCCCGTTATCAAGCATCAGAGGTCTGTGAAGAAAAATAAAGAGGTCTGTTTTCCCAGCCACATATTAACTGACTGTTCCCAGGCTGCTCACAGAAGAAATGTCTCAGCCAAGGGTTGTTTCCATCTGGATACTCTGATTTTCCTCTTACAGAGGAGAAAGGTTCTGTTTCTTTCTAGATCTTACTTGAAATAGACAAGTGAAATAAAATAAAATTTTATTTTCATCCCACATATAAAGAAAAAGATGAAGATATCTGAACCCATAATCAAAAGTAGCTCTTGAAGATACAAAAGCATAGGACTGACAGGCTTTTCCAGATGGCTGCTGACAAGAAGTGGGGCTGTGTGTCAGGCCTTGGGGTGGGAGCACTTTATGGTTAACAAACAAATGAAACCAAGAGAAAAAGAGAAAGAGCCTCGAAATGATGACATTCCACCATGAAAACTCCGGGGTTTGGTGATGTAAATATTACCAACATCACATTACAGCCACAGAGGAACTCAGAAACAGCATATTCTGACACCCACCTGGCACTGTAAATTCTATGGTGACCCTATAAAACTGCCTAGCAAATCCCTTTTCTCCTACCATCAGGAAAAGCATCTTGTCAGTGTCCAATTAGAAGAAGTTTGACTGAGTGCACTATGGAAAGCCAACACTGCTCCCCCATTAATGTCTAAGAGGCCTGTCAGAAGAAATTAAATCCCACTTTCCCCTGTTCTACAAACACTTCACTGGATGTGTTCTACAAACACTTAACTGGTGCTGAGATGAGGCCAAGATGATTCAAGCTCCTCTATCCTCATGCCTTGAAGCATTTATGATCCTGAGATTCCCCTAGTTAAAATCTCCCTCTGCCTCTGTGATACCTGCAGGTCGTTGTCATCACCAAACCTGACTGCACACCCCACGCAGAGACTGCAGGTCAAACCAGTGGTGGCCATGGGCCAGCTGGGCCTCGTTGCCTTCCCACCGTATTACACATGGCAACACTGCCACCGGCATCCATAAGGCCAGCACTGGGGCCCTTCCCCCGGCCCCTAGTTAGTGTCCCCATCCCCTGGTCTCCCTCTGTATTCCCCAAATAAAGGTCATGAGCTGACACGGTGCTTCTCTAAAGGCCACTGAATGGGGCATGTCAGCAGGTCTGACTCGGCACTTCATCCCATTCAGTTCCCATCACCATGGTGTCCTGGTCTGGTGACCGCCTGCCTGGGCAAGCTGAGCTTGTGCTTTTAGCGAGGGGGCAGCGCTTTGCACCCATGAGTGTGTGTGGGCACCACACAAGGGTACTTACAGCTTCCTCTTTATCCCGGTGCTGCTGGGGTTTGATTGGAGCTGGCCAAACAGAAACTGAATCAGCTGTCAAAAGAGATCAAAATCAGTGTTAATCAGCAGGGTGATTCAGCATTCCCTGCCCCCCAGGTCCCTCCATCTCACACACTTCTCCCTTCTCCCAAAGTGGGCAGCAGCCATGAAACATGGGAGCCAGGCTGTGCAAGGCCCTGGAGCCCAAAACACAACAGATCATTGGAAAGATCCCTGTTCTCTTCTGTGCATGGAAAAAAACAGCTAACTCCACCTGACCTAGGAATATGCCTAGGAAGCACACAAGCAAACACTCCTAGACCTGGAGGGAGGTCTGGCCTCTATACAAGTCTTTAGAGACTTGTCTAAAGTGCTTGTGAAGACTTTGCAAATGAAAAAGGCAGCCCCCTTAGGGTGGCCCTGGGCAGAGGTCTCGGCACTTCCAGCCGAGTTTGTCAGGCCTGTGGAATTTGGCATTGACACAACAGCCACCGAAGAGGATGTGGGATGGTTTTGGAGAGCAATCCCCCAGCAACCTGCTCCCGCGTCAGCGCAGCCTCGCGCCCCTCTCTGACCTCCAGACAAAGAGTGAATTATCAGCACGCACCCCAGCTGCCTCCTGCTCGCTGCCCCGCGCAGCCAACGGAGCTGCACGAACGCAGAGCGGAGGGGCTGGACCCGCACGCGGCCTCGGAAGGTTCCATGGCCTCATGCGTTTCCATCCCATGACTCAACGATGCCATGTGAGAGTCAGAATGTGCCTCTCACCGAGGGCCACTGGGAAACACGACTTGCTGGGTCACATCAGCAGCGTCCAGTTGGGGAGGCCTTTTGGGTGCAGGAGGTTCTATCTGTTAGGGGAGATGCCTCCACCTTGCACTTGTACTAGAGGC